GCTTATTTATTACTTTGCTACAGCTTTATACAAATATATGGATGCACATGTGTCTGAGGGAAAATGATGCTGTCCAGACTTATGAGAGCCAGTTGGAATCTCTCAAGGCTGCAGGTGAGCAGTGGGAATGCATGTGTATATTATCAGCTCCGTGCCCTTGGCGGTGCCTTCCTCCCTGATGACAAATCTTCCTTCCCTCCTCTCCTGGAAATCACTTGGCTTTGGTGGTTTTCTGCCTTGGATTTGTCTGTTTTCCCACTTGCTCTAATGGGCTCTACTTGAACTTTTAAAAACAAGCGTTTATTTGAAATACATTAAAGCCACACAGTACTTCAGAAAAAACGTTTGCTACCCCAAATTCCTTCCTGAATTATTTAAGCGCCGCTGCAGCAAACTGTTTACTCAGGGATGTTCAGCCTGGTGTGTAGTAGGGGTGTAGTTTTCTTTTAATGCAGTTATTGAATTCCAACCCACAGAGCCTCTGGCGGGGATCCAGGAGCGCTCTGCTGCGCCGAGTGAAGATAAATTGTTTGTTTTCAGCAGCATTTCTTCATCTTCATCACTTAATCTGCAATGAAACTTTACAGCCAGCCGCTGAATATTTAAGCAATATATTTACCTCTTTTATCCTGGGGGAGTGTTTAATGAGGCCGAGTACAGTGCATGGTTATAGGAGCTGGAGGTGCAGGGAATGTGGAGTTTGTGGAGTTTCCCTTCCCTTCTCCTCGGGATGCTCCCAAGGCTGCAGTGGGTGAGTGCTGGCGATGCGAGTGCTCCCCACGACCTTCCCTTGACACACGCTCCCCCTTTTGGTGCCTCATGTCAGGCTCCTGTCCCTGCCTGGCTCCTGATTCCTCAGCTCCAGCTCGGTCAATCCTGGCACTTTGCTGCACCCCCAACCCCGAAGTTTTCCAGCTCTGAGTTTTCCACCTCGTCCTTTCCTGATTTTCCAGTGCCCTGTTCAGTATCTCTGTGAGTAAACACTCCTTGCTGCTAATATTCTTTTTCTTTAACACTGTCTCGGTGTTTATGCACTTTGAGGGTTTTAAAAAAAAACTTCAAAAAGTGCTTTTTGATATTTTTTGTGTTTTGTTGCTTCACAAAATTTTTTTAACAACATCATGGTCAAATTTTTTTAACAACATCATGGTGAGCTATGATACATAGGTCACCCTATGTATCATACATAGGGTGCACAAATTTCCTTCTTTCTTCAAAAAATCCTCAAAAATGCTTCCTTGCAGCACAATTTGAATATTAATTGTGCTCCATTCTTGATGAAGTGTGCTCCACTGACTCAGCTTTATTCCTTATGTTTCCACTCCTGGTGATTTTATCGGGTTGGAAAGCAGGAGCTGCAGACTCCCGGAGCCCTGTGAGGTGCTGGGGCCGCTTTGGCTGCTCTGCCCTCAGCCGTGTGTGCTCTGTGCTTTACTGCTCCCTCCCCACAGCCACAGCAATTGTCATCTGCTTGATTTTCACCTACCGTGCCCATTCCCGACGTTGGGAAATTGGCAGATGAAAGAAGGGCTCCTTTGGAATCGAAGTTTTGGGAGTGAATTTTTCAAGTTTGCTGACAAGCTGTCAGGCTGAATTCTGCCCTTACCCCCAGAAAGAAAAGCTGGCTGTCATTGCCAGTCTACAGCCTGTAATGACAATTGTATTTGAGGCACAGCGCCGTTTTTTTCCCCCAGAAATCATTTAAGTAATTTGTCTTTGTGGTTATATTTTAAGCAAGGAAGTGTTTTTTGAATTAAAATGATTTCTTTGTGGAATTAAGTGGAGGAGCTGGTAGGTTTTCATGTGAAGGTAGGCGGGTAGTGCAAGATCAGGGTGATTTCTCATGGGTGGTGGAGCTGGTGGCTGGCAGATCCCATGAGAAATGAGTGTTTTTTGGGGTGTGGGATGTGGGACGCCAGGGGGAAACAAACAGCTCTGGAGCAAATACTGCCTGAAGAACAGTTTAGATAAATTGAATTAAATCGGAGTTTTTCATAGGGATGGCCTCTTGGTTTTCTGGTTGAGCTTATTCCTGAAGGATATAGCAATAAGAGCATTCTTACTCCATCGACTTCTATAGATGGCATTTATTTTTTTGCTCCTAAATGTTGCTGCTTCTTTTGTCACAGTAGTTTAGGGGCAGGTTTAACTCCAGGCCATCCTTTTACTTTCCCTAGCTCTTCGTTCCTTGAGGAAGAGGAAGCTCTTCCTTTCTCATCAGCTGGAGGAAATGGCCTCAAGTTGCACTGGGGGAAGTCTGGATTAGATTTGAGGAACAAATTCTTCCTGGAAAAGGTGATCTGGCTTTGGAATGAGCTGCCCAGGGAAGTGGGGGAGCCTCCATCCCTGGAAGTGTTCAGGAGATGTGTGGATGTGGCACCTGGGGACAGGGTTAGTGCTGGATCAACAGCAGGACTCGATGATCGTGGAGGGCTTTTCCAGCCTTAACCATCTCCTGATTCCATGATTCCCACCCATGTCCCTTCAAATAAACTGCCCTGGCAGTGCATTTGAGCCCTTCCCTTGGGATCCCCGAGCTGTTCTGAGCACTGGTGTCCTCCCCAGGGCTGGGCAGGAGGTGACAGCTCCACATCCAGCTCTGCTGTTTCCCTGGGCTGGGCTGCAGATCCCCCCTGAGCCATTGCTTGGTTGGGAGATGTCCGGGTGGACAATGTGCAGCATTCTCTGGGATGGACACAAACCCTTGCAATATTTAACAGCAGCCCCTGCAATCAGTCAGAAGCCAATTAATCTTAAACCCTGTTTAAGGTTGGATTTTTCCTCCGTGTGTTTGGGGGAGAAACTGTGGGAGAAAGAAAGAAATTAGGGATGCACTAAATAATGGATGGATGCACCTAGCCAAGAGCTGCTGATTAAGTCTTCTTTAGGATTATTATTATAAATAGGGAGTGCCAGATCCTCAACTGGAGTAAATGGGCTTGGCTCAGCTCAAGCCAGTGGAATTGTGCCAGCTTGAACTCACTGAGGATCTGGCCCTTAATTCTGGAAAAGGAGGATATTTGGGGGCTGTGTGAAGTTGGGTGATCATAACACTGTTTTCCTGGTAATATCAGGGACAAAAATGTAAATGACTGTTCTTTTGAATTTTGTAATGAGATTCAAGGAAGTACCTGATGTGATTTCATTAGATGGAAATGACTTTTTCCCCAAGTAGCTGCATCTTAACCCCCTGCATGTAGGAAGGGAATATGCATGGAAAATGTGGTGGTTTGTTTAATTTTGTGGGTGATTTTCTCTTGCACCAGCATTTCTGCCGTTCCTACCTCAGAAATGCCTGGATGGCCCTCACGTGTTGCTTGGAAGGAAATAGGAATAACCAGAGTTGATTGTGGAAATCTGTGTCCCACTCTGCTTTCCCACCAGGAGTGAGGTGGGCTGGAATTTCAGATGGCAGCGATTTCAAATCCAACGTGGGGATCTCATTTGGCTGCATTTAAAAAGGTATCAACAAATCAGATTGCAAAGCTGCTGGTTTTGTAATTGCCTGTAAAAAAACCCAACCAACAATCTATTTCCATAGCAAAGGAAATGCACATTGTTCAGCAACACCTTAAAATACAGTGTTTGACCCTCTAGAAAGGGCTCAAAAAAAATCCAGCTCTGAAATAACACTTTTAAAAGTGGAATATCTTGGAAGGACTAAAAATAACAACACAAAACAAGTTTTTTTGTATTCCTAATTGTCAATTTCTCAGTCAGAGGGGCGCACAGCTTTTTCATCATTCCGATACCATAAAATCCAGTGTTTCACCATTTGGAGTGGCCACATTTATGCTTAAAAAACCAAAAATCCCACCTTTCTAAGGAGGCTATCTCAGCCTAAAAATAACACCACGGAGCAAGTTTGTTATATTGCTAATTGTTCTGACCACAGAATTAATTTCCCAGCCAAAGGGGGGGCATGGCTTTTTCATCCCTGCCAGCCTGGAATATTCAGCGTGTCACAGATGTTCATGAATAATGTCCATTTAGAAGCGTTGGCAGCGAGCGGGCGAGATGAATGAAATGTTGGGGGGATCTGACAGGCAGCACGCTGCTTTGTGATCATTCCAAAGTTCTAATAATCTCCCTCACCTTCCCTGCCTGCCTCTAATGAAAGAGAATAGGTGATTGCACCTCGGGCTATGTTCTGCGCCTAATGACTCCTCCAAAGGCGGATTTATGGAGAAAAAATTAACTTTGAATGAGGATTGAATTGGCCCTGACAGCCTGATAGACTGTGACACAGATTCTGTGGCAAAACAGACGTAGCCCTAATTGATTATCAATATTTTAAGCAAAGTGATGAAAATAAGCATTAAGTGACGAGAAAGGCAGTCTTAATACAGGAGGCAGTCAGCGGGCTCGGGGAGGCCTTTGGGGAGCAGAGCAGGATTTCAGCTCTCGGTTCTGCCTTTCCCTGCCCTGCACCTCGGTGTGTGGGGGCGTGCACGGCCCTGGATCCGGCTGGCTGGTGAGGGGCGAAGGCCAGGGCCCCTGTGCATCAGAAAACAGCCCCTCTCGGCGGCTTTGGCCTCGGGCTGAGCTGGGTGATAGCTCGGAGCAGCGCGGTGTGAGACGAATTAGGAGGCGACCACTCGCTGGGGGTAAACTGTCGGTTTATTACAGAAGAACCAACAAGGAGGGGAAACACCCAGCAAATGGCCCCGAACAAGGGGCAGGAGAGGGTTTTAAGGGAAAAGGGGGGAAGAAGGCAGGGAAACTCGGCTATCTAATAAAAATACATATTTGGAGGTACGAAACATAACTGATATACTAAAGTAACCAACTGTTATAAATCATAGGAGGGGCTCCGGGGCTACAGCCAACCATACCTCCCAGAGAAAAGAAAATTCTCGAAACCTGGGAGGAGAAAAAGAGTGATTGACTGACCCCAAGGAGGAAACAACTTTCACTTTATAAGAGAAACCAAGGGAGGAGCAGTTTCATTTCCATAGCAACATAACTGGCAGGGTAGCAGCAGGAAGTAATACAGAAAATGGGGGGAGCAAACTAACGAACTTAAGAACACACCACAGCACCTCGGTGTTGCAGGGATGAGCTGCCTCCCTCTCTGCACAGGCTGCTTCCATGTCTCGCCCCTCTGCACTGCCCAGCAGGGATTTTGGATATTCTCTCTTTGCTGCTGGGCTGTTCCCAGCCAGCAGGTGAGCCACAAACTGCTTCCTGCAAATGGGAACAATGGATGGAACGGGGGGAAAATTGCCTGCTCGGTGGGAAAGGGTTTATCTTGGTTGTTATCTTGGTTATACCCAATATAAACAAATATCTTGGTTATACCAAATAACCACAACTATCTCAGTTATCCTTTGGAACAAGACAGTGTTTGGGTTTTGCCTACGTTTTTTCAGTTGGGTTGCACATGACTGAATTTATCTTCTACCAAAAAATCAAGTTAATATTTGGGAAAATGTCTGTTGAGCCAGATGCTCAGCTGTGCCATCATGGGACGTTTATCCCAAAATAAGGAATATTTTCTGAAATGACAGAGGGCAGGGAACTGGTGCTGAAGAGGTGAGGAATAGCATTCCTTCAGTGGGATAACATCTCCCTTCCAAACACTGGGAGCTCAGAGGAGTTTAAAATAACCAGATTTGGGTTTCTGGGGAGTTTCTGAGTGTGACTGGCAGAGCAGGGGAGGGGCAGTGAGCTCCTCCCTCACCCTCAGGGCTCTCCAATATCCATAATTAGTCTGGTGTAATTAAATTACAGGGCAGCAAGGGCAGAACTTGCCGTGTTTGGGAATTGGGTGTTCCAGGTGTAATCAGGGAGGGCAGGGAGACGATGGACTGGGAATGTGAGCACCCAAAACATGGATTTATGGAATCACAGAGCCCCATGGAGCTGTGGGGTCAGGGATTAATAGAATCATCCTCTCATTTAGGCTGGAAAAGCCTTCTAAGGCATCCAAGCATGTTGGTGGCGTTTAAATGTTGGGTGAAATGTTACTAAAGGCAAAAATACAGAAATCCAGCTCAGATCTGGGGTGGTGAGAGTGTGTGTGGTGGTGTCACTTTTCCTCTGGAACTCACAATTCCTGGTGCTGCTCCTGCTGCTGTCAGAGGAGTGCTCTGAGCAAGTGGTTGTTGGGAGTTTGTGCTGGAATCTGTCAGATGGATAACAGATAATTTTACACGTCAGCCCATGAATATTCAGCGGAGAGGATTTCCACAAGCCTTGATAAATTTAATATACCAGAGAAAAATAGCATGTAAATTAAACAGGGCCTTGTAAATTAATAATGGATTCCACTTGTATTTTTATATGTGAGCTGACTGAATATTTTATAAGTGCAAAAATGTTTGTGTTTAAAAAAAAAAGGTGAAGTCTTTCTGATGAGCACCGTGGATGGTTGGCTGCATTTTAAATGAGATGTCCGTGTGTTTTTACAGTTTCTTGGCTTTCTTTTCCTCAGACACATCTTGTATTTTCAACTCTGAGCAGTTGGAAAGTCCACAATTAGGTTGAATTAATTTATTTTTCCAGATCTCTGGTGGTTTGCAGCTGTGGGTGTTCTGACACTCCTCTCTTTTTAATTTTGACAGGAAAATGAAATCTCCTTAGTGAGGGGCTGAGTGTTTTCCATGCGCCTTCCCTGCTGCTCCCTGCACTGGAGAGGGCTCCTCCATGGCCACACTCTCCAAAATGCCCTTTCCAGCCCCAAAACATCCCCTGCCCTCTTCTACCTTGGTGTAATTCACATTTTCCTGGCTTCTCTTAATTAGCAGCTTTGCTTGGAATAATTTCACCTTGGCACAGTGTGAGGCTGGTTGGGATTAAAGCATCACCCATCCATCAGGGAGTGACTCTGCTTCCCAAACCTTGAGCATTTCCAGGAGTTCCATGGAATTGTTTAGGCTGGAAAAGCCCTCCCAGACCATCAAATCCAACCCTCAACTTGTAAAGATCTTTAAATCTGTTGTTTAATTGCAGCTTGGTTTGAGAAAAGTGAATTTCTTTTAGTGCTTTTGATGGCACTTGGGCAGTGAACAACAATGTATTCACTAAATAATAATAATAATAATAATAATAATAATAATAATAATAATAATAATAATAATAATAACAGCATTGAGGAGGAGGAGGAGAAAAGAAGGAGAAGAGGAAGGAGAAGGAGAAAAGAAGAGGAAGGAGAAGAAGAGAAAGGAGAAAGAGGAGAAGAGGAAGAGGAAGGAGAAGAAGAGAAAGGAGAAAGAGGAGAAGAGGAAGAGGAAGG